GACTGTGAGTGTGTGACTGTGTGTGTGACTCTGTGTGTGTGTGTGTGTGTCTGTGACTCTGTGGTTGTGTGACTGTGTGTTTGTGTGTAGCTGCCATTTGCCAACCTGTGACAGGAATGACAGATCCTGCAGAATCAGAGGCAGGCAGAGGAGCCCCCTCCCCACCTGCTGTGAGCCGTGCTCCCTGGGCAGCCTCCCCTGCACTGCTCTGTCCTGCAGAGCCAGCCCCCTGCGCAGTGAGCTGCCGGGGTCTTCAGGCCCACTCACAAGGCAGGTGTCGGCCTCCCGGGACAGTGCCAGCTCCATCCTCCATAAGGCTTTCTGCGTTCTCCCTCATTGGTGTCCCGGCGTCTTAGCATCCTTCCCTCGCTGCACGGAGGGAGCAGGCCCATCAGATGTGGGTCTCCCTCGGGGAGCCTCCTGACGGTCTGCCCAGAGAGCGGTGCAGGAGGCTTCAGGGCTGGGATGAGGGCGGGCCGCTCTGTAGGATACCCAGTTCTCGCTTGTCGTCCCCCTCAGGTCCAGAGTACAGGCTCTCTGTCCAATCCAGCCCTGTCTACAACAATTCAGACCTTAGGAGAGACTCTCTCAGAAAGAAGTTCTGCCCCGCCACACCATCAGGATTTGGTGTATCCTTTTCTGCGGTACAAGGGGGCTAGGCCTGGGCTCCTTTTCCCAGAGGGCCCTGGATTTACAGGGAGCCCCTGATTTGAGGCTGGCAAATCCACGGCAAACCGGAGGATCCTGAGTTCTAGGCCCAATATGGGTGGATGAGGTCTGTGGTGCCAAGCGGTGGGGCAAGAACTAGGGTTCATGAGATTTCTATGGGCAGAGGGCAGAGTAGCATCCGTGTCTCCCCACGCATTACTGAGGTATCAGTGAGGATGGAGCCCATGGCTTCTCTGACAGAGGAGAGGCAGGAGTTGGTTGAGACCGTCCAATCAGGTGCCCTCCCCAGGACACTGGGCTCTGGAGAGCGTCCCACAAGAACATTTGGTCCAGAATGCCGCCTTTAGCCTCCTTTAGTTAAGTCTCGCTTGCTGTGAAGTAGGAACCAGGCTTTTTGCTTAGCCCCGAAGGACAAAACCAGGAACGGGTGGGGGGATGCAGGTTTCAGTCCAACAGAAGGAAGAACACTCCTGAGGGTCAGAGCTATTGCGAGGTTTGGAGGCAGCCCTCCCCCGCATCCCCAGGTCTCCAGGCAGAGGCCGGTGTCTCCCTCTCGGGAACGTTGCCGAGAGGACCCTTGCACTAGATGCTCTGGGGTCCCTTCTGATTCTGCCCAGCTGGGAAGGTGCCAGGGGAGCTCCTCCAGGCTCCCACCCCCACCAGGCACCTTTGGCAGAGAGGAGAGCTCTCATGGGTTTGTCCTTGGAATCCCCTCGCTCCCTCTCAGCCCCCCCCCCCCCCCCCAGGACTGCTCTTCTCGTGGTTATTCTCTCATGCCCCTGCTGTCAGATGCCTGGGAGGGGTGGCAGTGTCCTTCTCCCACATCCGAGACTGAGCCACAGATGAGGAAAGGAGATGAGGCCCAGCGCCAGGTTCTGGGAGCAAAGGGAAGCCTTCGCAGCTTGGGCTATTGTGTATTCTGTTATTTGATGGCAACCAGGAAATAAAAAGGAGACATTCTTTTCTCTTCCTACAACGTCTCTGGTTCTTTGAAATCGCTCTCTGGGGTTAAGGGAAAGCCGCAGGTGTCTCTGAGAGCAAGTTTCGCCTCAGTTCCCTACTTGGCCAGGTTCTGAGCCTGTGAGGTTAGGGATAGCCCTAGATATCATGCATCTGGATTCCATCAAGGCACAGCACACAGCATCCCCCAGTATCCTCCCAGACATGACAGGAAGGTGTAGATTCACCGCTCCTAGATCTCTGAAGGGCCCTTGGAGTTTATAGGATTATAGATTTAGACCTGGAAGAGATCCAGCCCCCTCATTTTACAGATGAGGAAACTGAAGCTTGTATAGAGCTGAGGTGACCTACCTCGCTTGTCCTCAGTCCTCTGATTGGACGCCCCAATGGAGGTGTTGAGTAATGGACCCATAGCAGCTTCTGTGATATGTCCTCAAGCGGTGTGCTTGGACCTGTCTGCGGCAGGATGAAGATGCAGCTGACTCGCCTATCCAGCTGTGGCTGACCCAAAGCTGGGAGCTGGAGCTAATATTGAGAATGACAGAGACAGGATTTAAAACCGTCCTGACCTGTGCTTTCTCGAGTCTCTGTAGGAGCTGTGATTTCCGGGGGTTCTTGGCCCTGGACCTTCAGATTGCAGACTAGGAAGATGAGGAGGGGGCCAGAGTAGGAAGGGGCCTCAGAAGCCGCTCCTCTGACCCCCTCATTTCACAGACCGGGAAACTGAGGCCCAGACTGGGTAAGGCCCAATTCTGCAAGGCCAGCACTGTTTTGATTCCTCCGTGCTGCCTGGCAAGCCTTGCCTCAACTCCAGAGACTGTAGCTGGGGCAGATGGAGAGCTCCCAACATCTGTGAAGACCATTTTCTCCTCACCTGGGGGCTTCCGTCATAGCAGCTAACGGTGTGCCGAGAAGCCGAATGCAGTTCCTAAGTGAAGTCCATTGTCCCGCCATATTGGGGGATTCTAGCCAGATTCTCCCTGAAATGTTGCTGCTGATTCTGTGCCCCATTTTAGGAGGGTCTGATTGAGTAACTATCAGTTGTCCAAGGAGGGGGACCGTAACGATGAGGGATCTGCAAGCGCTGTGATGTAGGGACACAGTAGGGATGATGGAAGCAGCCTAGAGTGCTCCCGAGCTCTGCGACTCTGGACAAGTCACTTTGGCCTCCCTGTGCCTCGTTTTCTTCATCCGCAAAATGGGGATAATAACATGCACACTACCTACCTCACAGATTTCCCCCTGAGAGTACTGTGGAAATGGGAGTCCATCCACTTCACGGGGGAGAGAGTCAGCGTGAAGCGGGGACTCAGAGGGAAATGGCTGAAGACCCGGATACTCGGATGCCTGTCACGCGGAGAGATGCTGCGGAGGGAGGCTAGCGGCAGGTGACTGCAAGGAAAAAAGATCTTCAGCTCATTACGAGCAGTAGAACTGCTCCGAGGTAGCACAGGATGCCTGGAGGAAGCAAAGATGGCGGTTCTGTCCTTGGAAATTCAAGCATGAAGCGCCTACTATGTGCCAGGCACTGTGCTAAGCTTTTCTCTTTTCTTTCTTTCTTTCTTTTTTTTTTGGCAAGGCATGACTTGCCCAGGGTCACACAGGTAGTAAGTGTCAAGTGTCTAAGGCCAGATTTGAACCCAAGTCCTCCTGACTCCAGGGCAGGTGCTCTATCCACTGTGCCTGCTAAGCACATCTCATCGGGGGATTCCAGACTCTGGACTAAACCGTGACGCTCCTGGTGTCTGAGCCCACAGCTTCCCTGACTGAGAGGAGGCAGGAGCTGGGGATGGCCAACCCTGCCCACGGCCACCTTGGCTACGTCAACACGAGGTGGAGATGGGTAGCACAGCCGACCCCCTCGGATTTTGCAGCTCAAAAGAACCCCGTCCTGACTTGGCCCAGCCTTTGTCTTAGGACTCTCGCTGGGCCTGACCTCGTGGCCTTCCCTTCCTGTTTCCTCAAGCAGTAACCGAGCCTCCCCACCCAGATGTTGTGCTGTCCTGCCTGGAGCGCAGCTGTGATTAGGCAGCCTGCCTCGTACACGGAGGCCGGGTCACATTCCCATGGCGGAATTTGTCCACAGGGAGACCATAGAACAATGCCTGAGTGTGTGCAGTCGAACATAGGGATGGCTAGATTCAACAGTTAAAGCTGGGGCCAAGGGGACCTGCCCACTGGTGCTGACTTTCACAGTTTCACTGGAGAGTCAGCCCCCAGCCGTTCAGACCCAGGTTTAGCTTCTGCTTTCAGCGTGAATCCCTTCCCCCTGAGTCAGGACCACAGGCCTCTCTTGGAACTTTCATAGCACTGACCACAAGCCTAGGATCAGAGAATGCCGGAGCTGGGAGGGACCTTAGAACATGGAATGCTAGAACTGGGCAGGAGTTGGGGTGGGATGGGAGTGAGTGCTTAGAACATGGAATGCCAGAGCTAGAGGTGCCTTAGAGCAGGGAATGTCAGGGCTAGAAGTGCCGAAGAACATGAGATGTAAGAGCTGGAGGAGACCTTAACGCAGAGGATGTTAGAGTAGGGGTGCAGGGGTGGACCTGGGAACCTGGAATGCCAGAGCTGGGAGGGACCTTAGAACATGGAATGCCAGAACTGGGCAGGAGTTGGGGTGGGATGGGAGTGAGTGCTTAGAACATGGAATGCCAGAGCTAGAAGTGCCTTAGAGCAGGGAATGTCAGGGCTAGAAGTGCCCAAGAACATGAGATGTAAGAGCTGGAGGAGACCTTAACGCAGAGGATGTTAGAGCAGGGGTGCAGGGGTGGACCTGGGAACCTGGAATGCCAGAGCTGGGCAGGAGTTGGGGTGGGATGGGAGTGAGTGCTTAGAACATGGAATGCCAGAGCTAGAAGTGCCTTAGAGCAGGGAATGTCAGGGCTAGAAGTGCCTAAGAACATGAGATGTAAGAGCTGGAGGAGACCTTAACACAGAGGATGTTAGAGCAGGGGAGCAGGAGTGGACCTGGGAACCTGGAATGCCGGAGTTGGGGGGGCTTTAGAACATGGAATATTAGGTGTGGGTCGGGGGGACGACCAGCGCTGGGCTCAGTTTGAGAGTTCACGCCAAGTGGTAGATGGTGTGAGGGGTCAGAGCGTCCTAGGCCTGGGGAACAGTCAGTGAAGACGAGAGAGTGTGATGGAGTCAGGGCCAGGATAGCTGGATTAGAGAGTTCATGGAGGTGAGTGGGAAGGTAGGAAGGGGCCAGGGTTGGAGGAGCTTTAAATGCACAACTTTCTATTGGGTCCTGGGAGTGAGAGGGAGCCATGGGTGTTCATGGAGTTGGCAGGTTTGCGGTCGGTCAGACCGCTTTAGGCAGATTCCTTTGACGTGGCAGTGGATGATGGGTTAGAGGCTACTGCAGCGGCCTGTGGCACAGTCCAGTTGTAAGGAGATGAGTGGTGCCCCAGGGTGGGGGCCCTGGGAAAGGAGAGAAGGGAGGGATACCTGCAGAGGTAGAGATGACAAGACTGGACGAGATTGGAAACAGGGTCAGCATGAGGGAGGAGTGCAGGATGAAGCTGAGGTCGAGAGCCTGGCTCCCGAGGATGGTGGCGCCTGCAGCAGGAAGAGGGAAGGAGTGGAGTGCTCTTTTGGACTTCTTGAACTGGAGATTCCAATTCACTCCTCCATGGCCCAAAGGCAGTTGGTGATTGTGGATTGTAACTCAGGAGAGAGAGTTGAGCTGGACGTGGAGGTCTGAGAGTCACCGGCATAGAGACGTTCGCCGACCCCATGGGAGCTGAGGAGGCTGGCAAATGAGAAAGTATCCACAGAAGGAAAAGCGGCCCAAGACAGAGCCTGTGGGGAGAAGCCAATGAAAAAGAGCAAAGAAAAAAGAGAAGCTGAGCCCCCACCCCAGGCCCCACCTGGGATTTTAGCTACCAAACACCATTGTAACATATGCAGTAGCCTGCCAAGAATGTTCACATATGCTGTCCTTGTGTGAATCTCACATGGTCCTGGAGGTGGGCGGGGCACAGCAGGCATCAGCAGATGAGATCATTGTTCCAAGTAGAGGTCCCCTCCCCAATCTGGCTCATATAAAACTTTGGTATTATTTTTCAAGATTATATAGCTACATTTTACTCCTAAAGAAATCTTATTTTATGTGCATACCCTTTGACCCAGCAATAGCACTTCTAGTGTCCTAGAGATCATACAAATGGGAAAAGGACCCACATGTACAGAAATATTCACAGCAGCTCTTTCTGTGGTGGCAAAGAATTGGAAATTGAGAGGATGCCCATCAATTGGGGAATGGCTGAGCAAGTTGTGGTGTATGAATGTAATGGATTACTATTGTGCTATAAGAAATGACGAGCAGGCAGACTTCAGAAAAACCTGGAAAGACGTGGATGTTCTGATGCTGAGTGAAGTGAGCAGAACCAGGAGAATGTTGTACGCAGTAACAGCCATGTTGTATGATGACTAATATTGATAAACTTAACCCTTCCCAGCAGTACAAGGATCTAAGACATCTCCAGGGGCCTTGTGATGGAAAATGCTGTCCACATCCAAAGAAAGAACTAACCCTAATTGAATTTTTTTTTTTCTTCTCTTCTGTTGAGTTTTGTTTCCTCTTTCTGGTGGTTCCTCCTATTAGTTTTAATTTTTACTTATAACATCACTAATGTGAAAATATGTTTAATATGAATGTAAATGTTTAGCCTATATCAGATTGTGCACTGTCTTGGGGAGGGTGGTGGGGAGGAAGGAGGAGAAAAAATTTTAAACTCAAAAACATAGGGAAGTGATTATTGATAAATCAAAATAAATTAATAAAAAAAAGAAATCTTACTTTAGGGGTATGGTCTTTATTTGGCCCCAAAAGATACATACAGAGCTTTGTAACCATCCTTCAAGGATCAGCAAATCGGTAAAATGTAAGCTCCTTGAGGACAGGGCATGTTTCATTTTTTTCCAGGGTGTCCCAGTGCCTGGCACTTTCCTTTTTGTGTTTCGGCCCTATGATTTCAGAGAGCTGGCAGTGAGGAAGCTTCCGTTACCTCCAGAGTGGTAGCAGCTCTCCACAATCTCTGGCCCAAGAAAGTGTTGTGGGGCAGGGTCAGTGACTTGCCCCATCCAGTGCCCAGGGTCATCAACTGGGATGTGGCAGAGGCTGGAACTGAGTCCAGATCATCCTGACTTCGAGGCCGGGGGGGCCTCTTGCCCACCACCTAGTAGGTGCTTTATACATGTTCGTGGAATGGCATTTTCTCATAGTAGGGCTTTTCTCCACCAATGCAGATTCCACCCCCTCCTTGACATTCATGGTTGGACTTCTTGTGATATCCTAGATGACGAAAAGTAAAAGTTTTGAGTCTGCGCAGTAGGACGTAGGGAAGTTTGGAGTAGTGGAGCTGGGAGCAGATTTGGGTACACAATCCTAGGAGCCCAGTGAAGGTGGGGAGAGGAGAAGGAGGAAGTGCATTCCAGGCATGGGAGAGACAGAGTAAAAAAAAGTGCCCAGAGCCAGCCTCTGTCCCCTTTACCCACAATTCTGAATGGTTTGTGTTTTATTCTAGAGCCGGGGTTCTTAGCCTGGGGTCCTAGAACTTGTTTTCTGAAATATTCTGATAGCTGTATGTCAGTGCAGTTGGTGACCTTTGCCATGCTGTCTTTTGTTTTCTTCATTTAACTACGTGTTCTGAGACAGCATTCACACGCTTCACTGGAGGGGGCCGGGATGCAGGGGAAGAGCCCCCCTGCTCTGGAGGGAGCCCACACAGGCTCTGGGGAAGGTCGAGGTGCTTAGACCTGCGTTTGAGATTTGAAGGTTATTTTGGCAGCTGGAAAGAGCTGCAATGCCCAGGATGAAAGGTGAACAGAGTCTACTCTCAGAGTGACGGCAACAGTGGAGGGCAAAATCAGAGAGGGCTTTGCCTGGATTCGGCCCTGCCTCCCAGAGCACAGGGCTCCAGGTGCGGCCTCTCCAAGCCTGGGGCAACTCTCCCCAGCTGGTCACCAGCCAGAAGCTGATTTGCATGAGCAGGAGTTTCTGCACAGGGAGTTTCCCACACTGATGAAATTACAGGCCCATGCCCCAAGAAGGAACCAGTCATTGCAAGAGAGAGGTGGGCCCAGAGTGGCCTGGAAACATGGAGGGACCAGAATCATGCTTCTGGTTGGGGAGATGGAAAGGATGCTGGACTGGGGCTTGTGACTTGTGTGTAAGCCCTGCTTTTTCCCGAACCCCCTCGGTCCCTCATGGCTCTGAACATCTTCTCAATGTCCTGATTAGGGAGACTGCATACAGGCCGTGGTAACTGAGCAGGCCTTGAAGGAGGCCGGACAGCTTCTGGCAGCCTGGTGTTCCAGGCAGAGGACGAAGGGAGGGAGGGTTCAGCCAGTGTCAGTGGAGGGGACCCTGGGAGCCAAGATCTGGAGGTGGGAGGGCAGTATTCAGAACTGGCTTGGTGATGGGTCACACTGATAGTGCCTGGAAGAGGTGGCATTTAAAACCTCTTCCTCTGACACCCCCACCCCCACGCCCCAGCCCCAATCCTGCTTCTGGGCTGAAGCTTGCAAGGGCAGGGAGGGGGCGCCTCGGGGGCGGGGCGGGCGGCCTCGGCCCGCGGACTACAAACCGGGGGCTGCCGGGAGGAGGAAGCGGGCGGAAGTGACGCCCGGGCGGGCGGGCGGCGAGGAGGCTGCACCGGCCGGGAAGGAGCGGGAGCGGGTCCGTGGCACAGGCAGCAGCGGCAGCACCGCCCCCCCCCCCACAGCGGTGCCCATGCCAGCCCCCAGCGCACCCGAGTGAAGGCGCCCCTTTGGCCGCGGCGACAGCACGTGGGGCGGCTCGGGCCGGGGGTAGGTGGCGGGCGATCGCCCCGGACTTGGGGGGGAGGGACGGGGTGCCCCGGGGTCTCAGGCTCCGGGTGTCGGGGGGCTGGGGCTGCCGGGGACCCCGACCCCGAGCCGAGCCTGCCGGAGCGACGGGACAAGTCACTTCCCCGTCTGGCCTCAGTTTCCTCATCTGTAAGGAGGGGCTTGGAGTGGGTGACCTCCAGGGACCTTCCCAAGATCTGCTAATGACCTCTGGGGGCCCCCTGCTTCGGGGAAGCCCCCCTGCGCTTGATCTCCTGGTGGGCTGGTCCTGGGGGGGGGGTGGAAATCAGCCGAAGAGAAGAGGCATTCAGGAAAGAGCTGGGGAGGAGCCAGCCCCCCTCCCTCCACATCTCGGCCGGTGCCAGCTGGGACCTGGCAGTGCCAGGGCGGGCCGGGCATGCTGCTCGGGGGCCCCAACCGAGCTCCTGGGAGGCTTCGTCCTGACTGCCGAGTGAGCGCGGGGGGCATCTTTCCTAGGGCCGTTGGGGTCTTGTCCTTGTACCCCCGCACCCGGCGCACAGTAGGCGCCTCCTTGATGCGTGCCGCTGGCAGCAGTGGCTGAACGGGACCTTTCTGCGGGAAGCATCGCCTCCCCTCCCCCATCCCCCATCCCCTACCCCGCTGCAAGGCCCTTCAGGGCCGCAGCCTGGGGGCTCGAGCCCGCCGACCCCTTCGCCTCCTTGCCGTCCAGTCCAGGGCTTGCCGACAGCAGGCTCTGCTCCACCTCGTCTTCCCCATCTCTGTGCCTCAGTTCACTCATCTGTAAAAAGGCGGCGGTGGCTCTGTAAACGCTGCAGAACAGAACCTCCGTCTCTTCCCGCTTCCCTCACCTCCTGTGATAATAATGGTTACTGACCCGATAGTAGCAACACCACCTGACGTTTAGGTAGCACCTTCTGCTTGCAAAGCACTTCCCCGGAGTTATGACCTGATTCCACATGGCTGGGCCTCACTTTCCTCTTCTGGAGAATGGGCATTATTTGTGCAAACCTCCTGGGGCTATTAGTGTAAACTACTTTTGTTATTATGTCTTTGTATCCTTGCCACCCTGTAAGGAAGGTACCGCCAGCCGACCAGCTCCTTTCTGATTATAATAATAGCTCGAATTTGCATTGCACTTTTAAGATTTGCAAAGTGCTTTTCATAGGCAGCTCAGGCTGACAGAGGTTAAGTGACTTACCCAGGGTCACATAGCTAATTTGGGGCCATATTTGAACTCAGGTCTTCTATTGACTCGTCCCTTTGGGTGATTTAGGTGATGATAGGTAAAGGAGGAGGTAGGATTAAGAGCTGGGGACTTTAGAATTCATCTAATTCCACCTTTTTACAGCAGAAGAAGCTGAGGCCTAAGGGAAGAGAGTTGCCCAAGGTCCAGCAGCTTGCGTGTGGCATGGTCAGGATTCAAACCCAGGACCTCTGCAGCAGTGGGCTTCTCCAGGAGCCCTCCTCCCACTGGGGCTGGGCATCCCAAGTCCACGTTCCCCAGGGCCTCCCTCCTGACCTCACTCACTTTCTCTGCCTTCCAGGGCCTCCACCATGGACCTCTCCCAGCTCTGTGCTTTCTGCTTGATGCTGCTGCTGGCCAACTCAGGTGCTTCAGATCCGTCGAGGCCAGACCCAGACCGGAACTTGGAGATCTGTATCCTTCCTTCTGTGGTGGTGGCCGGCCTGGCCCTGGCTGCGAGAGAGGCCTGGTGGGGAGGGTGGTCAAGGACAGCCCCAGGTATGTGAACCTCTCCCTCTCCGAGGAGATGCCCACATTGCACAGAAGGGAAAGTGAGGCCCAGAGAGGGAGGGATTTGGCCAAGGTCAGGAGGCCCAGAATCCCCCGCGTGAGTCAGTCCCAAGGTCTCATCCTGGTTTCCCACCACGGGGACGGTCTAGCTAGGCCGTGCTCCTCAGTACGCTCGGTCTTTTAGGGAGCGCCAGGCAAGGGTCGGCTCGGGCTGTCCCAGGCACGGATGGGCATCCTGTCTGGGGGCTATCGCTGTAAGTTTACCCCAGTGGAATGAGTCCAGAAAGGATCACTGGAAGGAACGTCAGAGGCCATTTTGACCAACCCCATTCATTTCATGGTTGAGGGAACTGAGGCCCATGTCCGGGGAAGTGACTTTCCCAAGGTCATGCAGGTAGTGACATTCAGGTCCTTAGACCCTGGAGCTCTCAGCTCTTTCCCCTCTACCACACTGCTTCCTGTGTGCCAAGATTCAGAAAAGAGCATGGCCTCATGGGCAGTGGGGTAGGGAGCTCTGTCTTCAACTTTCTCTTGCCGCTGATGAGAGACCCTGGGTAAGTCACATCCTCCCCCTGGGGCTCGGTCACCTCATCTGTGGGCGTTTCTATGGTGCTCCAAGGTTTGCAAAGCACTTTAAGAATGCTATCTCATTTGGTCCTCACAACAACCCTGGCGGGGAGGTGCTTTTGCTATCTCCCTTTTACAGTTGGGGAAACTGAGGCAGGCAGAGATGAAGTGACTTGGCCAGAGTCACCCAGCCAGTTTTCCTGCCTCAAGTCCAGGCCTTTGTCCAGCACGGCCCCAGAGGGGGGCGGGAACAGCTTGGGTGCAACCCAAGCTGATGAAGAACAGCCCCTTCTCATTTATGTAGGGCTTTAAAGTCACGTGCTTATAGGCCAAGAACTGCTAGTCAGGCAGCAAGCTCCTGTGTGCCCAGGCCCTGTGCTCAGCACCAAAGAAAAGAGAGCCCTGCCCTTGAGGAGCTCACAGTCCAATGGGGAGAGCTGACCCGTAAACACTATGTACGCACAGGCAGAACTGGCCAAATTGGAGATAACTCACAGAGGGAAGGCCCCAGAATGAAGGGGGTTCTGTATCAGGGGAGAGTTTAGCTGGAACTTGAAGGAAGCCAGGACGTGGAGATGAGGAGGGAGGGCATTCCAGGCAGGGGACACAGCCAGGACAAATGCCTGGAGTCGGGAGGTGGAGGGACTTGTTCGTGGAGCAGCCAGGAGGCCAGTGTCATCTGGTTCAACCCCTCATTTTTCAGCTGTGTAAGTGGAAGACCAGAGGGTGAAGGAGTTTGTCCAAGGTGAGATCTGAATCCAGGCCCTCTGGTGACTGAACCTGTGCCCTTTCCAGAGCCAGGCCCATTCCGCCCTTCCCCACCCAGCAACCTTGTGAGGTAGCTACTTCAGGTATTATTGTCCCCTTCTTACAGATGAGAAAACTGAGGCTGAGAGAGGGAGATTGATTTGTTCAAGATCACGTGGCCAGGAAGTGTCATTCATTCAACAAACACTGTCTTCTCTAGTAGAAGCCAATAGGGAAGGCGGTGCAGAGAGCGCTGGGCCTGAAGTCAGGAAGACCTGAGTTCAAATCCTGCCTCAGACACTAGGTGTGAGACCCTGGGCAAGTCACTTCACCTCTGCCTGCCTCAGTTTCCCCACTTGTAAAATGGAGATAACAGCACCCCTGTCCCAGGATTGTTGTGAGAATCAAGTGAGGTTATATCTGTAAAGCTGTCAGCACGGTGGCCGACACATAGTAGGTGCTTCGTAAAATGCTTGCTTCTTTCCTTTCTCCTGAGTGCTGGGGGGAGACGTGGGAGCTTCAGCTGCGTGGCCTGACTCAAGTCACTCTGAGCCTCAGTTTCCTCCCCTGTAAGTGGTGATATCTGTAGTACTTGGGATCCTTGCTTCAGAGCTGGGAGGGCCCTTGGAGGCCCTGGAGTCGTGCCCTCGTGTAGAGGAAGACACTGAGATACATAGAGGACACACGGCAAGGACGCCGGGGTTTGCGCGGTTGCTGTCTACCCTGGCTGCTGCTCTGGGGGCCCAGGACTGCCCTCCCTCTCTCTCCTTTTTCTTCCCTCCTCTCCTCTCTCTCTGTCCTGTTCTCTTCTTCTCCCCCCCTTCTCTCTCTCTCTCTCTCCCTCACTCATCCTCCTTGTCTTTCCCTCTTCTCTCTCTCTCCTTTC